CCAAGTAAATACCGATCTTATCGTTTGCTTTCGATTTTTCTATCAAGTAGAGTTGTAGAAATAGGTACTACTTTTTGTTGCTTCATTAATTAAACAGATTGTATGATAATAAGCAAGCCAACCTTTCTTTTTTGTTGAGGATCAAATGGATCGCTTGATTTTTTTATATTGCATATGCTTGCTTTCTTGGAACCGATTTTGGTTTGTTTGTGTTGAGTATCAACTTGTTTCTTTGTTTCGAATTTGGTTTGTTTGTTTTTAGTATCGATTGATTCCTTGAACCAACATACATCTATTACTTTGAATTTTTGTATCCATCGATTTTTTAATTTAAACATACACCTGTTACTTTGACATTTTGTATCAATTGCTGCAATGAGGCGTCATATAACCCTTTTCAGTTGTATGTGTCATCTCAATCGTGTTGCTTGTTTAGTAACAAGTCTTCTTTCTCATAGATGGTAGACATTGTAGATTGTGTTCTTTGAATACTATGACCATTGTCCTTGAGAAAATGTAAAGACCTTTATTCACTTTCAATTTTAGTTGGTGGAATTGCATTTTCATTTTAAATTTGATATGCTACCAAGTTGTGGTAATTTTTCCACATTCAATTTACATTCCGCCGCATTGTGCGGGTAGACAACTAGTGGTTAAAAAATGTGATGTTTGTCAAAGGAATAAAAGTCTTAGTGGCAGCCCAGCTGGTTTGTTGCAACCTTTGTCATTGCCTGAAAAAGTATGGGACGAGATTTCAATGAACTTTATTGAAGGTCTGCCTCGGTCGAACGGAATGAGCGCGATTATGGTAGTTGTGGACAGACTTAGTAAGTATGCCCATTTTGTTGGTTTGTCACACCCTTTCAATGCACAATCGGTGGCTGAAGCATTCGCTAAAGAGATCATAAAGTTGCATGGCATTCCTCAACCGGTGGTTTCTGATCGGGATAAGGTGTTTCTTAGCAATTTCTGGAAAGAGTTGTTCCGATTACAGGGAACAAAGTTGAAGTACAGTTCAGCGTATCATCCGCAGTCAGATGGACAAACGGAGGTAGTAAATCGTTGTTTGGAGCTATATTTGAGGTGTTGGGTGTCGACTATGCCTAAACAATGGTGCAAATGGCTTCCATGGGCTGAACTATCGTATAATGTGCCTACCATACAGCTCTTAAGGAGTCTCCGTTTAAGGTGTTGTACGGAAGAGATCCTCCCCCTTTGCTCCGTTATAGAACGGCTTCATCGAAGCTGCAGTCGGTGGATCAGGAGCTGATCGATAGAGATGAAATTCTGGATGAGGTGAAATTGCATCTGCTTAATGCGCAATTTCGTATGAAACAACAGGCTGATTTGAAACGTAAGGAGGTAATATTCTTGGTAGGGGATTGGGTCTTTTTGCAATGAAGACCGTATCGACAAAAATCGCTGGTTATGGGAAATAGTCCTAAGTTGTTAGCTCGATTTTATGGCCCCTATAGAGTGCTGGAACAGATTGGGAAGGTGGCATACCGATTGGATTTACCGAGTACAGCAAAAATCCATCCGGTTTTCCCTGTTTCTCAGTTACGGAAAGCTATGGGAAATTGCAATTCGTCTCAAGATTTTCCTACTCAGATTTCGGAAGATTTGGTGTTGCAAGTTGTGCCTGAGGATATCTTGGATATGAGACCATTGACAAATGGTGATGTGGGGCAGTTTGAAGCATTGGTGAAATGGGAAGGAATGTCTGAGTTTGAAGCGTCTTGGAAAATTTTGGAGCCGTTACTACATCAGTTCCCTAGATCGATTAAACAGCCGATTAAACAGCTAGATTAAACAGCCGATTTTTGAATTGCTAAATCGAAATCGATTGATCAGAATCTTACTCTCTTTGAATTGCTAGAGCTTGATTAAACAACCGATTTTTGCAAAGCAAACCCTAAATCGATTCAAACCTAGCAAACCCTAAATCGATTCAAACCTAGCAAACCCTAAATCGATTCAAACATAGCAAACCCTAAATCGATTCAAACATAGCGATGAGAAGGAGAAGGTTAGGGCAATCGTGTACCTGATGAAGGAGAAGGAGAAGGTTAGGCCAAAATCCATTCATACACCGTCGGACTGTGTGTATGGACTAGAACTCCCGTCGCCGATTKAGGGTCGGTGCGATGGAGGGTGTGCGATTTTGGCCGTCGGACTGTGTGTATGGACTAGAACTCCCRTCGCCGATTGAGGGTCGGTGCGATGGAGGGTGTGCGATGGAGGCAGTCGATGCGATGGAGGCAGTCGGTGCGATGGAGGCAGTCGCTGATGGAGGCAGTCTAAGCATGGAGTGCGATGGAGGGAAAAAGTTTTGTGTTCCACTTAGTTTCAGGGGTAATGGTGGAACACGCGTGTCCCATGCTTGTCCAACTTAGTTCCACTTAGTTCCACATTTAGCCACACCAAACGTAGGACAAATGTGTTCTGTCCTGTTCTGTCCCACCCTGTCCAGCGTACCAAACGCACCCTAACAGTCACCTTGAGGACAAGGTGAAATTTTTGGGGGGGAGTATTGATAAACCTCCTTTATGGTTCACATACAGAAGAAGGGACTAACTGTGTGTTGTTTAGTCTCGTTATAATAAATATAGGAAGAGGGGTAGTTTGGTACTTTTCCTATTCTGAATAAGAGAGCGTATAGCTTAAGTAGTTGAGAAAGTTTGTTAGAGCAGTCATTCAGTTTTTTTGTCAATTCTAAGTGAGCGTAAGCTCTGTGGGAGAGACTCCAGACCTCTCGAAAGTCTGGAAATCCTTTGATTAGTTCGTTGCAATACAATCAGCCGACCAGTTTGTTCTAGTGTATATCAAGTTCATCTATATTTTAGCAGAGAACCCTCAATATATGTTAACAAAGGATGCCTTTGGGCCAGGATTAACAAACCTTATGAAACGCAAAAATAGGCTAAACTAAAATATACAGATAATAAGCTAAAGTATAGGTACAAATGTACAATATGCCAATAAACAAATTGCAAAATGTAAAGTCATTAAATTGATGGTTGTGGCTTTTTCAACTTCTTCAACGAGGATGTTCAGTCTTCTACACAACCTACTACACTATCTTGACGTCTCATCCTCATTTTGATTGAACCTATTCAAAAAGCAGATATTATTTTGGGACAAGGCCACTTGTGCCTGCAACAGGGTAAGCATGAGCTTGCATTTGAGATATAGATTAAGAAATTCCAATAAAAAACATATTTTGACTTTGTTACTCACTCCATCCCAAAAGCAGTGTCATTTACATTTTGAAAAACTTTAAAAACAGCTTTTCCAGACAATATACCATTAATGACATTCATTAATAAGATGACTTGTCAAAACTTTGAAAAATCAAAGGGCAATTAGAAACATAAAGGTTTTCTTAATGTTAAAATTCGGAATAGGACTTTTTGGGGCAAAGAAAATTTGTGAAGTGGAATCTCTTTTGTAGATGGAGAACCTACTTAGGACTGCTCCATGCAACATGATAATGAATCATAACTTTTGACAGCCACATTGAAAAGCCAAGCCACCCAAAAGTAAAAAAAATATGCACTAGTTCTTTTCTTCCAAAATGAGATACCAAGTATATGTAGCAAGTTGTGCATGATTGATATCCATGCTCCAACTTGAGAAATGTTAGGTATATTGGGAATCTGTTATCTAGGCATGATTTAGGGAAGATTTGGCATGATTTAAGGATGATTTTATTCGATTGATTTAATTCTATTTCCTTCTATATTCCAATGATGTGCTCTACATGAATCATGGTTTTCCCTTAAATAATAAAAACACACTTATAACCTATTCATTTTCAAATATAGCTTGACCACAAGCTTGGGCCAATTAATCAATTTATGCATAGACATCTAGCTCAACCACTATAAACACCTCAATGAATTTCATTGATCACTAGAATTAAGCCCATTTACATCTGCATTGTGGCTCTCATATATTTCAATATGAGTTTATTATAATATATGTAAAGAAGATCACTAATATTTACGGCAGTACAAAATTAAGTCTTACAAGCATAAAGCATTCTTTCATTCCATTGTGGTCAATTTTTTCTAAACTTCACATCTGTGCAAGTCAGCCCCACCGCTATTATCTTAACCCTCACAATCATCTCTGGTATCTCCAGCCTAAAAGAGAACATTTGCCACTCCACCACCAAAAGGAATTTGGACAAAATCAAGCCTCCTAAGACATGCGTGATAGAAAATGTTAGCATGCCTTGAATCAAACGTTCAATCGGGCGACTAGAGGGGTTGTGTCGCACTCCAGAAGAGCTCTTTAGCATACCAGATGCATTCTCAAGGTTCTCAGAAGCAAAAAAAAGGATTTTTGTTGTTCTCCATATACAGGTTCTTTAGCATAATCAGAGGGATTCTATAGAACATCAAATGGGTTCTCGATCTGACCCACCATGGGGGTCTCGCCTATGGTAATTTAGGAGATTCTTAATCCAAATCTATTTTGGACTCGTATTTTTGGGCCAGTTTGTTTATGTACCCTAGGAGTAGTATATAAGCTTCCTTAGCTGTTATTCTAACTTAATAAGAATTCTTGAATCTGACTCTCTCCTCAAAACCTAATAACAATCCGATCTCTCCCTTGCTTGAGGATTAGCCAGCACATTGTTGGTGAACACCTCACAAATCTGTGTCACTTTATTTGTTTTTTTTTTTGTTACTTTTATCATAATAGAAATGATAATGAGTTCTCTTTGCAAATACCAAATCAATGAAGGAATTTCCCCCTTCTCTTGTTGGCGTTGAGAGCAATTAGCATCTATCAATAATATATGTGTGTAACTCACTGTGTTCACCATATAAACCACACTTTTCAGATACGCATAAAGTAGACAGCTAAAACCATCAAGACATAGTCATCCACTGAAACCCCCAGACTGCAGCAAACAGCATAGGCATATAGATGAAATCAAGATTTTATATCAAAAAGGTAAATCAGACTAGGTAAAGCCAAAAACTTACATACAGTGTTGGAACAGCTGCCATGACAAAACCAGTGAATGCAATTGAAGCCTGCATATATCAAACATTTAGTTTTGTTCTACCAAAATCCCATTCAGCTTAAACAAGTAAGCTACAAAACTATCAATTAGTCTAATTCCTAAGGGTTTTATTTGTTCGAACCCAATTGAGAATTTAGTTCTTCTTTCTTTAGGGCAATGTTAGTAAAACTTCTTCTCCATACAATTTGAAAGAACCATCATATTGAACAAAGTTCGATTAAAAAGCAAAGCCAATTCTAGAACTACATACAAAGCAGAGAACCACTAACTCGTAATAGAAACTTGATAGAAGCATCTGATTAGCCCCAATAGGTTGACAAGAAAACCTAATACTAGAATGTAAATAAACTTTGTTGGTCATTCATCAATAAACTTCAAATATATATTCCATGATGATAAAAGGTTCGATTGTAATTGCTTGTAACACTACTTGGCAATAAAAATTCGAAAGAGATCTCATGTCAAGCACCTTTCAATAGACAAAAAAAGTATCCAAAATTTTGGAATATTACATATAACAGAATTCCCATCGATCAATGACTAGAACAAAGCAAAAGGAGAATAGGAATCACCGTGCAAGCAATGAACGTCAGAAGAAAGAAAGCCTGGTCGCCTAAGCTTAATCTAGCCGGCAAAACAAAAGACGGAAGCTTAGGATTCCTAACTTCAACCCCAAAGTTCTCAATTGCAACATCGTCTTTAGCAATAAGAATGTCCTGAGGTACTTCGTTATTTACACTAGTAAGAGGAGGAGTGCACGAATTACAACCAACGGAAAAGAAACGAGGAAACGATGGCGACGCTCTAGAGATGGATAGAAAATGTGTCCGTCGGAGTGAGCAAAATTGAGTGAGTGAAAGGCTACGAGGAGTGGTAGAAGTGGATTTCATCATTGATTTGCTGGTGGATTATGATCGATTTCCGGTGGATGAAGGTGGGAAGTCGGTAGTGCTAAAATGGTGGTGATCAGATCGTGCTCATGGTAAACCGACGGTGGTCCGTTACGGCGGAGGAACACTGCGTGCTGCTGCAGTCATTCACGGTGTTGCCTTGAAAAAGGCACAAATGCTTCATCCGTCCCCAAAAAGAAACAATATTATTTGGCCCTGAAACCATAAAAACTAGTTTTGGTCAATAGAACAACAGAGAAACCATTTTGATTTTTAAAAACCGTAAAAAATTATTCTCATTCGTCGTTAATTTTATGAAAAATTTTCATAAAATTGTTAATCTTGTAAAATTGTTTTATATAATACTTTTTTTGATGAAGTTGTTTCATATGTGGTTATGAAATTGTTTCATATACTACTTAATGAAATTTTAATGAAACTGTTTCATGTATTTCTCTAAAATTAAAATAATGAAGATGATAATATTCATGATTAACACCCTCCACAATAAAAATGGTTAATCAACCTCTCGTAATTACAAAAAAATGAACAAAATGAAAAATTATGATTGATTGAATGAGGTTTTCATAGTTTTTACAAACTGAGTGGTTTTTATTTGAACTCATCCCTAGAATAATAATAACTTCTTTAGGGTTTAGGTTATTCCTTGGTTTCACCGCTTAGTCCACGTGAAGTGAGTGCAATGGTGCAGGGTATCAAAGCCTAAACGGATATCAACTCATCATCAATATTTGTATAGGCCTGCGAACAAACAAGACATTCGGTGAATTTGTTAAATCATATGACGGTAAGTTGATTTATGTTTATTTATTTAATAAAGGAACGAACATGAATATAATTTTTATTCGTTCAATTAAATACAGGACATAAACAATCATTTATGTTTGTGAATATTTGTTCATTATTTACATATTATAACATTAGTGGTAAGATGAAGGGAGATCCCTTGGAAAAAAGGAATTGAAAAGTCATTTAAATCGTTAGATTAAGGGGCTGTTTCAACCTCTTAATCGCTAAGAGGCAAGGGTTGTTTGGCAACAAAAAAAGAACCTCTTAATGGTTACAAAAGGCTCTTAACCATTTAGGGGCTAGGGCTCCCCTCAACGATTCAGAGGGGTCTTCTTCCATTTTTGCCCTCCTTCCTCCTTCCAGTCGATCTCGTCTCCTCCCACCCTCCTTCCTCCTTCTAGTCGATCTCGCCTCCTCTCCCGAGTTGCTGCTGTGTCGCCTTCTTCCCAACCCCTCTCTTCACGCACGTCGCTTCTATTCCACAGTCGCCGTCCCCATCTCCGGTAGCCTCCGCCTCCATCGTCTCCGCCTCCATCGTCTCTGCCTCCACCAGCGAGTATTTAAGGTTGGGTCCTTGTCTGTGCTTTCCTCGACACCGCCGAATCTAACCATCATGCTTTGAAATCGTTCTTCCTCTCGTTCCTTGCTTCGTCGCACAAGAAATTCATTCCCTATCTCTGAGCTCTTTGTGAACCTCGAAACTGATATCTCTTATAAGAAATCRGCAGATTTTAACGACCATAGTGATAACATGGCGTTTGATTGTGTTCAGGCTGRTCACCGGAGTTAATCCATCGGATACGAAACTCCAATCGAAAGGTCCAGGAACAAGGGCAAGAATTTAGGGTTTAGATGATTCTCGATGATAATTTATTAGAGAGGGTTAAAATGGTAATGTATTATCATTCAGAGAACAGTTACCAAACAACATTATTTCATTCAGCACTTAACCATTCTGACCCTCTCAACCATTCTGACCTCTTAACTATTCTGCACTAAATCATTCAGCAACTGCCAAACAGCCCCTAAGATAATATAACAGGTTCAAAAAAAAGTAGTTATAACCACTCTTTAAAAAGATAAAAATACCATCCAACTTTTTTAAATAGAAAATCGACGAAATATAACAAAAATTGGAGCAAAACAAATTGCACCAAAAAATGATCACTTTATTATCGACATTCATTTTGATAAAAAAAATTGGGAAAAGTACAAAAAACTCAATGAACTTTAGTGTTTGGAATGATTAAGTCTTTGGACAATTTTTTACAATGAACAAGTCCTTAGACATTTCAAAACCTGTTAAATAACTCATGGACTTTCTAAAACATGTTAGAGATCATTTTTATCACTAAAGACATTTAACCTGCAACCTATACATCAGGTAAATATACAAATTAAAAAAAAATCCTAAAACTAACATCTTCATCCATTGGAAGAAAATGTTGCACACCGCTTCAGCATAACGAGGAACGAACAAGATCAGGATATAGATGAGTCCCATAGAAAGGCTGATGTTGCAACTGTTGCTGGAAAATTCAAGGACGAGATCATTCCAATTTCAACTAAGATTGTTGACATGAAACTGGAGATGAAAAAACTATTAACAATTCCATTTGCACAAGCAACCATTATTGATTTTGGTGAGAAAATGGAGAAAGCAATCGGGAGACAAAGAGTTCTGCTAGAGCATCTTCGTCGGTCTTCTACCTCTTCATCCTTGGAAAATCTCGATTCATCACTCTCCGCATCATTCTGCGCAGCTGGTGATAGTGTTGCTTATCAGAGGAGTTCTTTTTTTTTTTTTGGGATGATGTAGTAATTGTAATTGCCTACCGATCTCCTCTTTGCAAATCAAGGAGAGGTGGCTTCAAGGATACTTTTCCTGATGATATATTTGCACCAATTTTGAAGGCGTTAATAAAGAAAACAAATTTTAACCAGCTGAAGTCGGAGACATTGTTGTTGGATCAGTGTAGGAGCAGGCTCCCAAAGAGCAAGAGAATGCAGGATGCCTGCTTTCTATGTCGGGTTTCTAAAACGGTGCCAGTTAGGACTGTCAACAGACAGTGTTCCTCAGGTCTTCAGGCAGTAGCTGATGTAGCTGCATCTATTAAAGCTGGATTTTATGAGATTGCACAGTCACTCATTTCCCCCTCGTCGCTACCCTCTCCCTCCCCCTAGGCCGCCGTCACTACCCTCTCCTACAGCCCAGCCCCGTAATCGTTGCCGTCACTACCCTCTCCCACAGCCCGTCCCCATAACCTTCGTTGTCGCTAGCCTCTCCCCCGGCCCAGCCCTGTCACCATCACACCTCCATGCTCTACCTTTTTCCCATCTTCTACCTGACTCCCCATCATCAGAGCTATCGACAAACCTCGCTCCTTCGGTAACCCTCCAAGTCTAAACCCGCAGAATCTAGTGAACAAAAATAGGTTACTCATTCTTATATATGTATGGATAACGTGGAACCTAGCAGGAGTGGTAGGTTACAGGGTTGTGATATTGAATCTCAAAGGCAATTCATGGAAAGAAAACTTGGTATGGAAACCATCACAATTTATAATTTAAAAGAGAGAAGAAAACTTGCTCATTCATCATCCATTGTGTTGATATGTATAATTAGGGTCTTAAAATTTAAATTTTTAACTCCAGTATTAGTGATCTCTTAATTACAGGTCGTTTTTACAAATCAAATACTAACAAGAGGGGGGGTTATGGCTATACATCTATAGTGGTTACACAAGGCCTAGTTCTAGTGTCACAATGTTATTAAGAAAGAAAATAGTTATAGTTCACCACCTGCACCCGTACCCGAACCCCAATCGGAAGTGGAAGCGGAGCCAAAATCGAGACACGTTAATTTGTTTGAAGGAATTAGAGTTTTTTATCCAGTTGAGATCATGGATAAGAATAAAAGTGAACTAGGGAATGAACAAAGGAGGGGGCATAAAAGGATGAAGAAAGAGGTTGAGATGCTTGTTGATCATCTCTCTCAGTGATTTGATGATAATCTCTTTTACCTTATACGAAGTATTTATGTTTCTATCTTTCAGTTCCAGCGATCATCACCGAGTCTGTTCAGTGATCGCTGAAAACATGTAATACAAATCTATCAGCAACAACGATACTTCAAGAAGACAAAACTCACCAAAGAACCTTCAGCGAAAGTCGAAGACTGAAACTGAAGATTAGAGACTGGCGAGTACGTGATCTGAAGCAGTATTCAGTGATTACAACCTAGTCTACATATGTGTGAAGAATGCCCAAGCCTCAGCGAATGCTGAAGAGACCTTCAGGTTATTCCAGCATTCAACGATCAAAAGAAGCTTGTTGAGCATGATTGCTTTTGTCTTGTCCTTATACACACAAAGGACAAACCCATACCCTTTCTAGAGCATAGTACGGTATGGAGCCGATTAGTTGACTCTGCTACCCACCAACTTTATGAAAGGATGTCTGCTCATGAATAGACTTTTGTACTATTCACTATAGCAAAGGACAAGTCTTTCTCTAAAGACTTGACACGTGTTCAAACCMTACTGCATTGCATTAAATGTGCATTTAATGCAATGGGTATAAATAGATGTGTTATATCTCCATACAAAGATATATATCTTGAACCCTAACTTACGTTCATACGTGAAAGAACACACATCTAAGAACACAATATGCTTATCTTCAAAAGTAAGTTAGAATCCCTTTTAGTATTCTAAATAGTTCTTACCCAGAAAGAACTAAATTCCTTCTAAGTCTCTTACATCAAATCATTTCTCTTTGCTAAGAACTGGTGTGTAACTTAGAGTGTTTAGATAGGTTATTTTTTACTTTATCTTTTCGCAAAGAATCTTGTAAAATTTGTATTGATCCTACTTTATCAATATATATTTTAAATTTGAAAGTTTACTGTGTTTGTATTCATCCCCCCCTTCTACAAAATGTTATACACATCTTGTAGACCCTAACGGGACCAACCAGTGGTATCAGAGCAGTGTATTCTCTATTCTTGTTGTTTAGTTGTTTTTTTTTGCATTATATTATCTTTTTCTCTAGATAATCTTACTGCTTTCAAATGGCTTTACAAAACACAAACACACACTTTCAAAATAGTGGCTTTCTTACTAAACCATCCCGTTTTATCCAAGACAACTTTAGTATTTGAAAAAATCGGATGTCCCTCTTTGTGGAAGGTATGGATCCTGAAATTCCACAATATATAGAAAATGGACCATATGTTCCATATGTTATTCTTCGGCTGTTCCAGAAACAGCTACGACTGCCGCGATTCCTGAACGGCAGATTCCAAAGCTCCCTCATCAATAGAGCGATGAAGACAAGAAGAAGATAGTTATAGACACTCGTGCTAAGTCTATAATAGCTATGTCTCTTCCTGATGAGGTTTATCATTCTGTTATAAAACTCAGAACCTCGAAAGCCATGTGGGACACTTTATGTGTTCAATATGAAGGAACTTCTCAGGTTCAAGAATCAAGGAAGATTAATTTAGTAAGACAATATGAAAGCTTTCTTTGTGGAAAGACTGACACATGGTCTGAAGTATATCAATGTTTTAATTGTCTTCTTATAAATTTAAGGACTATAGGGAGGGAATATTCTAATTCTGAAACTTTAACGAAGTTTCTAGAATGTTTGCCTGAGTCTTGGGACACTTATTCCATGTGTCTCAAAATGTCCAATGACATGTCCTCTCTCTCTCTCTCTTAGCACACTTTATGGGATACTACTTAATCATGAGCAGTCTTGGCAGGTGAAAAGAAATCTGATTAAAGATTCCAGGGAAATGAAGAGCTCTCCTTTATCTCTAATATCTGAAGATGCTTCAGCTGAACTCCCATCTTCATCTTTCTCTTCCTCCTATTGTTATCACTGAGTTAGATTCTACTAACGCTGAGGATTTATCAGAATCTGATCTCGTAGATTTTGATGAATCACTGGTGCTTTTAACTAAATCTTTTAGAAGATTCGCCAAGAAAACTAACTTCCGCATATCTCCTTCGCTGACCATCAAGGAAAAGTCAAAGTCTGATAATATAGACAAGACTTCAGCGATATGCTACAACTGTCACTGCATGGGTCATTTTGCTGGTAATTGCAGGTCTAAGAAGGCTGTGATGCCATCTTCTAAAATCCCATCCTCCTTCAGATCTAAGGATGAAAAATACCTGAAGCTGAAGGAGACGTACAAGAAGATGAAAATCTTCCAACGAAAGGCCAAAGGTCTTGTCGCTGAAGGCTACAATAGAAGGATGGTGTAAAGCCTCTGTCAAGGCCTCAGAGATCATTAACACTCAGATCCCTGCCAAGATAAAGACTGGTCTAGGATTCTCCTATGATCAGGAAGACAGTGTCACTGAGAGGTCCATGCTCAAGTTTGGTACCTTTTTCTCTTTTATTCCTGACACTTCTTCCTCTCAGTCTTCTTTCGCTGAGAGTCATCTTGATGGAACTCCTTCGAGTTCAGGTTGCAAAGACAAAGGTAAATCCATTGTCAAAGAACCTATTCCCAAGAAGACTAACAAGTCAAATAGATTTAAATCTATTTCTTCAGCTTGTAATCCTTCTTCTTCTTCAAGGACTAAGAAATCTGAATCTTCTCAAAAATCAAAGTCTCAGCTCAGGGTGAATGTTTCACCTAAGGACTCCAAATCCTCAAAAGTTCCTCTTAGAACTAATGAGAAGGAAATCCTTGGAGCTGGTCCCTCTTCAAATCTGGTACTTCCTGGCCCTAAAGCTACCTTCAGCTATAGGAAATGTAAGCACTGTGGTGAAACTACACACATTGCCAGTAAGTGTCCTTCTGCCGCCAAGGCTGGTTCACCAGCCAAGGGCAAGAAAGTAGCTAAGACTGAGAAATCAACCAAAGCGAAATCAACCACTAAGGCTGTTAAAGCAACCAAGGTGAAGAAAACGTTTGAGCCTACTTTTCAGGCTTAGTGAAGACAACTACTGATTCTAAGCCTTTAGTATCAAATGTTGTAATTCCCACCACTGAAGCCTCTTCATCAGGCTAAGTGAAAACACCCACTGATTCTATCTCTCTAGTGTTAGAGGTTGTTTCCATTTCCACTAAAACCGCTCCAGGTTCAGTGAAGCCGTCTACTGACGCTAGTTTTTCAACCTCAGTAGATGAAGCCTCTAGCATTGCTGGACCCAAATAGATGGGTACCAAAAGCATTTTAAAATGTTCCCCTGTGCAGGAAGTTAAAGGCATATGGTATCTAGATAGTGGATGCTCAAGGCACATAACCGAAGACAAATCCCTACTCATTAACTACAAGGAAGAAAGAGGACCTTCCGTAACCTTTGGAGGTAATACGACAAAGATGATTAGGTTGCCTAGACCGGTTCTCGTTTAGAGAATGTCTATATCATCAATATGGATTTTTCTATCACTGAGAATATTTGTTTCTTCTCTAAAGCCTCATCAGACATCAACTGGCTATGGCACAAACGACTTTCTCACCTTAACTTCAAGACACTCAGTGAGTTGTCTAGAAATGATCTTGCCACTGGTCTTCCTCAACACTCATTTGCAAATGAATCTCTTTGCTCAGCGTGTGAGAAAGGAAAACAAACAAGAGCTAACTTTAAGTCAAAGAAAATCTCTTCAGTGACATCGCCTCTTCAGCTACAACACATGGATCTCTTTGGTCCTGTAAATGTGCAATCTATTGCTGGAAAGAAGTATACACTCGTCATTGTTGATGAGTATTCCACGTACACATGGGTCTTCTTTCTCAGATCCAAAAATGAAGCACCTGAAGACATCATATCGTTCATCAAGAAAATAGAAGTGCTTAACAATATCAAAGTACGATCTATTAGRAGTGACCATGGTACTGAATTCAAAAACAGTACTATGGATAATTTCTTTGTGGACAAGGGAATTTCTCACAACTTTTCTTCAGTGAGATCTCCTCAGCAAAATGGGGTCGCTGAAAGAAGAAATCGAACAATCACTGAGGCTGCTCGATCAATGCTCAATGAGTCCGATCTCCCTACAAATTTCTAGGCTGAAGCTGTCAACACCTGTTGTTTCACTCAAAATCGATCATTGATCGTTAAGAGGTTCAAGAAGACAGCCTATCAACTTTTCCATGGCAGAAAGCCCTCTATTTTCTTTCTACATATCTTTGGTTGAACGTGTTTTATTCTCAACAACC